TCGAAATCGCCCTGCGATGCGGATTCGCCCCAGCTGTGCAGGAGGGAAAAAAACCCTAAACCCTAAACCCTAAACCCGCAAAAGGATGATGGGATGGCAGCAGGCTAGCAGCCCCTGCTGCCGAGGCAACGACCATGGCACCTGCAAGTCCGACCCGTTCTTCGACCGCAAGCCCTTCTTCAACAAGTGCCGCCTGTTCGCAGAAAGGAAATAGAAAGAGGGTTTAGGGTTTAGGGTTCAGAGTTTAGGGTTTAGGTTTTAGGTTTTAGGGTTTAGGGCGTCTTGATCAGCTGGGTCTCTTGCAGGGCGAAGGACAGGAAAGGCTCGGGGGTTGAACTCGCGAGCAAAGATGGCAGGGGTAACCCAAACCCTAAACCCTAAACCCCAATCCATTAACTGGACCGCCATCATGTCACTGGCTTTGGCTAAACCTTGGCCAGTCGCATGAGAACCCCTTTAAACTCGAAACCCTAAACCCTAAACCCCTAAACCCTAAACCCTAAAACCCTATAAACCCTAAAAACCCTAAACCCTAAACCCTAAGACCCTACACCCTAAACCCTAAAACCCTAAACCCTAAACCCTAAACCCCTAAAACCCTAAACCCTAAAACCCTGAACCCTAAACCCTAAAACCCTAAACCCTAAACCCTAATTCACCTTAAGCGTTCCCGAGGTTCCTGCGATTTTTGCTGGGCGGGCGCTGGCAGTTGTGAACCCTGGGCTGCAAGGTACTGCAACACGAAACGTGTTTTGGGGATGATTTGGAATTTAGGGTTTAGGATTAGGGTTTGGGGTTTGGGGTTTAGGGTTTAGGGTTTAGGGTAACAAGGCGATGTGCTTCGGCTTTTCCAGGCTGCTTGCCGTGCTGTGTGCGAGAAGTTCGGCAGGCGTTTGCCTCAACAGGCATGGTCTGGGGCTTTCTTTCCAGAATAAGCTCGGCCGGATGAGTGGGGGCAGAGCACTGAAATCTGCGCTTCTTGCGGCTTCCTTCACTTTGGATGTGGGGGCTTGTGGTACCGGAACTCTTCTTGCCGCGGGCGAACATGTAGGGACCTGCTCCACTGATGGCCCCTTCATTGCACTCCCTGATGCTTTCTTATCTCTTGGGATGTTCCCCCCTATACTGGGGGTAGAATAATGAAGGACTGTTAGTATAGAACATCCCAACTTATCTCAAACCCGAAACCCCAAACCCTAAACCCTGGGTGCGGAATGGTGTTGGAAGGGCTCTGCCCCCCACATACCCCCCACATGCCCCCCCAGATACCCCCCACATGCCCCCCAGATACCCCCACATACCCCAGTCAAGCTGCCTCTGTCGAACCCCATCTCCACGGACATTCTGGGCCAAGAAGAAGCGAGCCAGAATCCCATTTGCACAAAGAAATACGGAGGTTCAACGGCCGGGCCTGTTTTGGCACACACTCCCCAGCCAAGCCCCCTCACTCAACAGGTCCACCGTGCTGCAGAGCATGCAGAGCACACAGGTGGGCTTTTGGTGCGAGGGCGGACGTGGGCAAAACTCTGCCTCGTCAGGGCCTGCACTCAAAGTCCGCCGTGCTGATGTGCTGCAGAGAAGCACAGGCGGAAAATCCAACACCATTCCGCACCCAGGGTTTAGGGTTTAGGGTTTAGGGTTTAGGTTTAGGGTTTAGGGTTTAGAACGCGCAGCCCTGACCTCCATGCAAACCAAGCTGAAGTGAAACTGCAGTAGAACACGGCTCAGCTGCTACTATCTTTGTTCAGAGGCTCCCCACCAACTGGGGGTTCCTACTGTTTGGGGCGGGTGGGGGGGGGGCAATACTAGTCAGCAAACTACATTACCTGCTGTTGCGGCGAGGTGTGTTATACATGGCCTTGCCTGAATTTCGCATCCGGGCGGCTTCAGCAAGTGACCAACCTTGACCTACACTGGCAGAAAAGATGACATGGATGTAGCATTATGGCTTCAAATGTTTTGAGTTTCCATGCATTGGTTGAAGGCATGGCGGCATTAGGATGCTTCTCTCTTTTAGGACTGTGACGCTTTGGCCCATCTTCTGATGCGAGCCAAGGATACCAACCTCTGCCTTTTCATTGCCACCCCGATTGCGTCGCTGGGCTTGCGGTCTTTGAGGTTAGGATCGTCTGGGAAGGTCGGGGGTCAAGATTGAACTGGCTCTGCCTATTCAAGTACAGAGGGGCACCGAGTTCTGGTTCTTGTTTTCTCTCAGATCCACTCCAGCTGCTAACACGTCACATCCGCCAAAGACCGAACGCAGCACGGCATAGTCTACTGCAGCATCTGAATCACCTTACGCACTGTGAATCCAAGGATTGGGCTTTGTGTGGCCTGTGCGTGGTGTGATGCGACAGCAAGAAGATGTTTCGCAATGGGTGGTTAGTTCGACGTGGTCTCCACGCAAGGGGCAGTAGAACGCAGCGATCACCTATTCAGACTTCGACCAATCTCTAAGGCCTCCCAAGATCTCCCAAAAAGCATCCATCACCCTATGTTGAAGCTCTGTACCGCAAGCAAATGGGGCTCTGGCCCAGTGACCATCTCGGCTTCCCCCATGGTCCAGGTTGTTGTGCTGCGGTGGCGCAGGCCTTTCGGGCAACTGGTGGGGCAAGGGGCCTGCCAGATGAGAAAGCGGAAGCAGAGAGCTTCAACATGTTTTTCCAGTTCCAGGCATGCGGCTTTGTGACAACTAGGCCTAGGACACACTGACTTTTTCTGAGCCCACTTCCACAAAGGTGTTTCCTGAGAAACCACGCTCTGAGCTGGTAGCGCCCCTCGGAATCCTTCCATGGGCTGTGAGTGAAGCACACACTCCCTGCCAGCCAATGTGCTGAAGCTTGGGGTGACTGCGGACCATGATGCCTCTTGCGGTTCCTAATTGCGCTAAGTGCGAGCGGCTAACTTGATCAGGCGGCACCTGTTCTAGCTGTCGGCGCCGGCGTGGGCGCTGCTGGGGCATACATGAATCGGCAAGGCATCTGAACCTAGTAGAGCAAAAAGCCTTTCTTTTGGAGTTCTTTTGGGCTCAAATGCTTAGGCGGGGAGAGGAGGGTTCAGAGTTGAGGAAATGGAAATTGAGCAGTTTGTCAGCCAAAGCTGGGGGGGGGGGGGGCCAGGGGGCTATATGCTATATTCCAAAATTGACCTATATAGTTTGGGATGTTCACCCTTATACTGACAGTTCTGAATAGGGATTGTAGTGCCCTCTATTATAATCCCCAGTAAGGACTGTTAGAGGAAGGGGGCACTATCGTCAGCCCATACATGGGTTTTCGAGTGTAGGGCTGAGGATGGCTCAAGGTTCTGAAAAAAAAAACTGACGGCCCAAGCTGGCCACCATGTAGCAATGTCGCTCCAAATACGGGTGAGCCAAGAATGGGAGCACAACACGGCACAACACGGAGGGTTTGGGGTTTAGGGTTTAGGGAAGTTGACGGATCGTCTTGCCAGGGCAGGCGCGCCAGCTCAACTATAGCCAACCGGCGTCAGCACGGCAGCACCTCGGTGTTGGAGGGTTCCTAAGCCCTAAACCCTAAGCCCTAAATTTGTGGCCCTCAGCTTGGAGTTCTTGGCTCACGCTGTGGTGGCCCATCTTGAAGTCTATGAGAAGGCACACTTGTTGCCCTGAATCCTAGGAGCACACTTCTGGTTCAGGTTCATGTCATGCTGCATCAAATGGAATGCGTGTCATGCCCACGTATGCCCCTCCCCCTGCTAGGAAAGTCTCAGAGCCAGACCTTCTTAAATGGTGGGGGATGTATTTCGAGTTCCTCCGGAACAGCTTGAAAGTTTGGAACGCCAAGGCAGGCCGCCACTCCCTTCATGGCCACCGTCAGCAACACTGCACCGCCCCTGCAGGCTTGCCCCCATGCTTGGGGCAGATTGTGCGTGTCTCAGTGTGTCAACATGGAACTTGGGATGTCTCAGTGGGGGGTGCAAAGACATGGCTTGCGGAGGGTTGCACCAGGCCGTTGACTGGTGGATGCTCAGACAGCTCAGCAGCTCAGCAAGGGTCCATGTTGGTGGGACTTCCTTGGTGCTTGCTATGAAAAATCAGACGGCACCATTCTCAACAACAAACTGCAGGAGGTGGGGGGGGGGGGGTATGGAAGCGTACTCATGCTAAAAGCCTGATCTCATCGTCGTGGTGCACATGGTAGGACTCATGGTGTGGCAAGTTTTCGGCTCCCGGCCCCCTTTTCTTCATGGATATGTAGCAGCGATGCTGCGTTGATTGCTGGAATCACCACTGTGTGTCCTTGAGCGACACTGGGCAAAGCTGCTCCCCCAAACTCCTCTTCACCCGTTTCGGGTTTCGGGTTTAGGGTAGGGTTTAGGGGATTAGGGAAGAGGAGTCCTGTGGCGAAAAGGGTTTAGGGTTTAGGGTTCCCAATCACTCCCCCCTAGATCCTCCGTGAGCCATGTGCTTCTTGGTCTTGGAGCGCCAGGCTTCCAGCACTGGGTTTAGGGTGTAGGGTGTAGGGTTTAGGGTTTAGGGCTACCACGGGGGAGGGGGGGGCCTTCCATGTTCCAGTGTTTAAGCGGGTGGCGAAGTGAAGAAACCCTCTGAGAGATGTGGCTGCTGCGCATGTTGGGGATTAGTTTTTGGCCTTGGGTTCTTTAAGGAGCCCCAAAGCCCGACAGAACGGCGGATCTTTGGAAAATTCAGGGTGCCCACATTGTGCCAGGTCTTGGAACTGCCTGTTGTGGGGGTCTACGAAACTAGGGGACCCTTAAAATAGACCCCCACATAGTAGGATTCCCTTATAATATCAATAAGTTTCAATAAGTTTCAGAAACCCCCTTGTGGATTCCAAACATCTACCAGCTGGAAGAAGACCTCCCAGTCAGGTGTCACAGTCTGGCTTGAGAAGGCGGAAGGTATGGCGGAGTCGGTTCTTTGAGGTTCATGGGTAGCTACAAGTAGCCTTCTAAGTATGGTAGCTATACTTCTATCCTTACTTGAATTTCTGTTCAGGCTACAGCTGGCTTGGTCCATGGCGGCGGGCGAGATCCAGCAGAATTAAGGTTGACCTCCAATTCCCCAGTTCCTCAAGTCCAATACCCGCACATCCGGAAGTGAAAAGCAGGTCGTTCAACATTTGGAGCGCGTGGACCTTCTGCCGTCGGTTTGGGATTGAGGAGGCCCGAAAGATTAGAGGCTTCGATGTGACACCTCGGCAAGTTCATCGGAAGCCCTGCTGGCCAACGGTGCAACTTTCAGTATGCTTCATCTTTGAAGCCTAAACCTAATCGTTTCAGGACTTAGTTAGTTACACTTAGTTGAAGTGCCTGAGCGCGAGAGTCGAAACGTTTGAGAAGATGTCCCCAAACCCTAAACCCTAAACCCTAAACCCTAAAGAAAGAAACTGAACCCTAAACCCTAAACCCTACACCATCAGCCCCAGGATGCGGTGCTCTTCCGGACGCTGCACAAGCCCCGCGTGGCCATCCGCGCGGAGGCCTCCACCAAGGCGGAGATCGTGCCGCCAGGCTGACACCTGGAGGGTTTAGGGTTTAGGGTTTAGGGTTTAGGGTTTAGGGTTTAGGGTTTAGGTCGCGAGGGAGTGGATCTTAATGATACTCCCTAAACGCAAACACCCCCACACATTTACATGTGTATGCATATGTCTGTATTTACTTACTTTTTTCGATGATCCCAGGTCGCATTTGCCAACCCCCCCCCCCCCCCCCCCCCCACCCCCGAATGTTCTCCTAAAATATCCCAAGACCGAAAACCCTAAGCACACCCTTGAAAGACAGACATCGCAAACATCGCGGTACCCGAACGCCGCGCACCCACCTTGGTTTTCGACCTCTGCGACTGCAAAAGCCTTGAAAATTTGCTTGGCTGCTCGAGGATCCCATGTTTGTGCTGAGTATGCCAGAACTGTCCCTGCAGAATGGCAGCTATGCACCTACAAGAAGAAAACCGTAGTCCCTCAGCCCCCCAGACCCCCACACCACACCAAAGAGGCGGGGGGGGGGGGGGGCCCTGTATTGACATGCAGCTAGCGTACGGGGGCGTGAAGTTGTTGAAATCTGGCTTCCGAGCAAGCTCTCAGCACCAGGCTAGAAGTAGCCAAAATTTCAACCTTAGCCCAAGCGTCGTATTCGGAGTTTGCGGCTCGGGTTCTGGGCCTTAGGGGAGTCACTTGGGGTTGGGGCCTTGAGTTGGACTTCTACTTTGGGCTTGGTTTCGGGATCAGACATCAAGCAAAGGCACGTGCTGGTGGCCTCGGAGATTTTCAAGGCAGGCTCGCGAAAAGCAGAAGCCTACGGGATTTCACCATATCAGCCCTCGAAATCCCACCGAAGTGCAACAGAGGGGCCAAGATTTCTCCGAGCCATGAGACATGAGACCTTCAAGGCTAAGAGCCCAAGGCATTGAAAACCCCGATTGCGACCCGATATCTCGGTCATTGCTAGAGCTGCGAGGGTCGAAACTTCTTCAACCTAATGCCAGGTCTCAGAGGAGCTGCCCTCGGGCTGGGTGAAGTTGGCGCCGGAGGAGGCTGTCGGGTTTAGCCCAGTTTCTAGAGTTTGCGGTTCGAAATTGATAAGGGGCATCGCTCATCGGACGAACACTGGCAATATCGAGCGTAGGCTGGCAGCAGCTTAGAGGCGTGCTGTATGCATCCATCCGAGGTACATACCCCTGGTCGTATGGGAGTAGCATAGATCTCACATGATTCAAGTAATGCAATGGAAAGTCGAAACATTGCACCGAGGAGGCCCCGGCTACAAACCTTGTAGCTTCGCACATGCTGCCAGTGTTTTTGGATGTTTGGGGCATTCTCACGAAGGCGTGGGTCCGCGCCGTCGAAACAGGCTACGTCCTATGCGATGGCCGGGAGATTGGCCGACCCGGATGCATTAAGTGCCAGTATCGTGGGTACTTGAGACGTTGTCATAGTGGGGTACCACTTTACAATTTTGAGGGTACTTAAACTCAAAAAGGGATTGACATGTAGATTGTTAATACTATCCCAACAATGAACTAGAGAAGTGACTTAAGTTTGAAGGGGGGGGGAGGCGCTGTCCCCAAACCCTAAACCCTATTACTCGTCTGTAAACTTGATGCCAAAGGTGACAACGCTGCCTTGCTCCACTCTACTTCTCCAACGTGCGCTCGGGGTATCTCTCGATCTATCTATCTATCTGTCTATCTATCTATATAACATGGGGCGGGTACCATATGTATGTACATATATATATATATATACATATATATATACATACATATATATGTAGATATATCATCTCTCTCTCTCTCTCTCTTGCTCTCTTCAGCTCGCGTTCTTTACTCGCTCAATTGCCCTCTGTCTCGTCATGCGCAAGTAATCCTGCGAATTACAACGAAGCCACTTGCGTCTGAGCAGCGAAGAGAAAGGATAAGGAAACCTTCATTGAACACCCGCCCCTGGCTGCTCCGACATATCTGTGCGGTTCGAAACTCTTCTGCAGGGCTCTTCGAAATCAAGGGCTTCATGGCGGAAGTTGCCCAACACTTGTAAGTCCCGACCCAACGCATCAAGGTCTCGGAAAGCTCATCGAGCCGGTACCAAACGAGGAGGCGAAGGAGGCTGGTCTGGAGTTGAAAGCAACGGTTTAGGGCACGTTTGGTGCCTGGGGTCCTTGTAGACTGTGGAACATGCAAGGCGCGTTCAAGGGCATCACCCTTCCTGGCCCATGACTTTGAAACGCACTTCGATGGAAAGGAATCCTCCATCCTATTGCCGGCTGTTCTGAGGGATCTCGATGAATAAAGGAACCTTATACCCTGATATCCAGCACCAGACCGATGCCAACTGGGCAGGAACTGTGGCCTTACGCAGCAGCCATTAGTATAGCTGCTGTCCTACGCGTACCTTTCCAGATGAAGGCAGCGGCACAGGGGTCTGACCATGCACCTGCAGCTGCCCTCACAGTTAATGACGGTGCTTGTCAGCCTGAGTTGCCCTGAATACTGACAGCAGCCATCGGCACTCCTCACTGTGGTAGTGGCAGAGGCCTTTTTGGAGTTAACAGCAAACAGTGGCGATGATAGGGACCGCAACGACCACCACCCCAAACCCATGAACAACCACAACAGCAGCAACGACAGCGGCAGCATTGGTTCGGGACTCTTCGGACGAAGCACACATTACCTGCCCTTGACGCTTATGAGTCATTTGTCGAAGACACCGGCAAGTGCGCATACTCTTGCCGGGCTCTACTCATCTTTATCAGTTATCGCTCGTGTTTTTGCGTCGGTGTTGTCACAGTTCTTGGACCCACCCCCCCGCCCCATTTCTTTTTGATGTTGTGCCATTCGTCGGAACTTGCGTGGTTTTTGCACCGTGTCTTTAGCGCTTCTCAAGATTCAAGAAGGACTTTTATTCTACCCCAAAAGAAGGAAGAGTTCGGGCACCTGCCGATGTGTAGGACACTTCCCAAAGCATCCCGACCCGTTATGCGACCGCCACTGCACCAACAGCAACACGGACACTAGCAGTACGAAGTAGCAAAGAGACTACGAGTGAATCGGAAGAACATGCAGATAAGAATAGTCATCGCAGTAAGTTTAGGCTTAAAGTTTTTTAGGCAAGAAGAAGGGCAAGATAAAAGCGAGGAATGCTCATTACGACGAGACTCAGCCGAACGAGAATACTCAATATCGCACAAACACAGGGAATAATCAGAACTGCAAAAGCAACTTAAGCAGAATAAGACTGCCAAGAAGAGTCACATGTATGGGGCTATTTGCCATCACGCTGTCAGAGCTTTGGCGTCGCCCGCATGCACAAAGACCCTTACAAGCTTGCTGGCTAGTGCTTCCCCAGGAACCCAGTACCTAAGACTGGAAAGTTTAAGGAAATCTGGACTCACCCCGAAGCCCCATCAGCCCGAAGCCCCACGCAGGTCCAGTGTGCACCGGACCAAACCCCAAGCCGCCCAAGATCAGGGCGACGGACTGCGTCCCCAACCGCGCGAGAAGCTGCCGCGGCTGTGGCTCAGCGCCTGGCATACCCAGGCAGCGGAGGAGGCAAGCTGAACAGGCATGTGGACGGATGAGTTTTGGTGTCAACTGGTGTAGCTGTTAGAGCTTAGGGTTTCGGATTTAGGGTTTAGGTGGTCGGCGAAGTTGGAGGGCAGTCTTGTCGGGCAAGCACATCTATGGTTTTTCGAGTCCGGGTTCCTAAGACCCAACGTGCACCGTACGAAGTGCTACGCTGCTCTGTGTCCGGCTGCAGGTCAAAAGACCCCTGCCGATGCGTGGCACAGCACCCAGGCTGTCCCTCGCAGTGCTCCTCGATCTGATGCTTTCACAGAGCTGCCAGTCTCTCCCAAGTTCACCCAAGGATTCCTCGGTTCAGGATCATTGGAAAGGGGTAGTCAGGATGTGGGATCATGAGCCCATGTCCCCGAGCACCAGGCCAATTAGAAAGCAAGGTCCCAGCAAATGCAGTCCGTGAGGCTCTTGCGGGGGACCCCAGCCACGACGGTAAGGAGCTTCGTGCCCTTCGGTCGCAGCAAAGGGGGGAAGCTGTTATGATTGGCGTTGCGTCCAAGATAAGCACAGAATGGACATGTCAGAAGGGCTGCATGCACTTCCCCCCCCTGACACAGCAAATGATTTGGCACCATGTGCACAAACGGTGCGCGCTCAAAGATGAAAAGAGACGCTCTCAAAGCTCTTAGCAACCTGAGGCAGTACCACTTGGCCATTGGGTTTGGCCTGATCTTCCTTTTCTTTGATGCCCCTGAAGAGCCAAAGGAGCATCTGGGTTGGTTTTTAAGCGTGTTTTTGCGGCCTACAAGTAGGGCTTAAAGGGCTGTGTAGAGCTCGGGGATGCTTCGGAGAGGTTGGGAGCCACGTTTGAGGGGCTTTTGGGGCGTTTGGTTAGCTTGAGGCAGCCTTGGAGTAGTGCCAGTTCGCTGGGCCGACGGGCCTTTCTTGCAGCACGACCCCCTTGCATGTTGATGTACCTAGGGTGCTCGGTAGAGCCGCTCAAGAGCCACGAAGAACTCTGAAGAAGACTTCCGAGGCGCGAGGCGATAGCGGCTGCTCAGTCTGTGGCCGCATCCCAAGGCTGCGAAGGTTGAGGGTTCCTAGGTTCGAAGGCATTCCGGCTTGGTTACGCTCAAGGTTGGGGACGTATAAACCCCCCCACAGCATGAAAGGGTATCCTTTGTGTTCCTTAGGGATGGTTCCGGGATTCAGACTAAGTTGAGTCCAGAGTTTCAGGTGTCAGGGCGGAAGATTGCGGGCTTGTCGGGCTTGATTGACTTTTTTTTTTCCGGAGGGGGGGGGGGGGGTTGGACCACAGACTCCCAGGCAGCCCCCAACGTTGCGTTGCGTGAATATTCTGCAACGAAATGCTGGAGCGCATAAAAGTTTACAAAATTCGGGGAGGAGGAGGAGGGGAGGTGGAGTTGCACAAAGGGGAAGGGGGTTCCGTCGATCTGCACCCTCCTGGAAGGCGGCATCATCGTCCACTTGTGCACTGAGGACCCGGGGGAGGAGAGAGAAAAGAAGAATTCTTGCAACATCGAAGCCTCCACACACAACCCAGAAGCCCCAGCAAAGCCAGCAAAGCCAGGAGTGGTGGCAATCCATGCTTCTCAGCTCGCGTTTCGCACAGCGTCGACATCAGAGCGCCGCCCGCCTTGCTGAAAGTTTGGGCGTTTCCTGGGCGTCTTAGGAGGGGAGGTAGGCAGGGGAGTTGGCTTGACGCAGAGGACCAGTAGAAAATGCAAAAAGCGTGGAGAAGGAAGATGTCAGATTCAGACTTCAAGGCTCCTACTGCGCGGTCCAACATGTTTGGTATCCTGGTTAGAAAAGATGCACATGCTCCTATCGGCCCAGAATGTTCAGAGTACCTCCACTTCTCGGGAGTTCTGGTACTGGAGCTGATGGCTAAGTTTTAGAGCCCCTTGTGTTGGGTCGAAGTTCGTTTAGCCAAAAAACTAAGCTCCCGTGTTGGGACCAACAACTTTTCATTGAACCTCCCATGGTAGGAGCACAAAACATTCAATCCCGCAAGCAGCTCGTTAACACCGCACAATACGTCAAAATGCCTGAGTCAGGCATTCTGCGAAGAGACCATGCAGCGCCTGGGACGCATGAGGGCTGGGATATGGCAATAGGAGTCAACCCCGATTGCGGCTTGCTACGATTGCTTCTTGCCTTGGGGGTCAGCTTGGTCCGCATGTCCAACACCAAGGCATCACAATCGTGCCTCGACACCTTCCCTAAACCCTAAACCCTAAACCGGTTTTTGCTCGCCCAAGGCTCTTCGAGTCCGTCCGGGATGTGCAGAGCCGTCAGTGCCTGGCTGTCGACGCAGCCGCCCGCGAGGCGCAGAAGCAGGGCTACGACGCTGGGAACCACAAGTTTGTGGTTAGGGTTTAGGGTTTATGGTTTAGGGTTAAGGGGGGGGGGGGGGGGGTGGGGAGGAAGATCAGCATTCTGCTGTGTTGTTTTTGGTTTGTTTCCTGATGGGGCGGCAAGTTGCTGCAAAGGACTGGTTGCTCCACATTGACTCGGACGAGGCATTGCATCTGCCAAAGCACGCGCCTAGGCTGTTCGGCCATGACATCTGTGTAGGCTACTAGGACAGGTTTGGTCCCGGAGCAAGTCGATTACTGTCATCTTTCAATCTTTCTGTTCCTGCTAAACCTTGAGCCAGAACCCCAAGCACCCTGGAAGAACGAAGCCCGCGGCCGCCAAGGCGGATGCAAGAAGTTTCTTTGCCGAGCGGCCAAGTCTGCAAGCAGAAGCGTGAATTTGATTCCATGATCTCCAAATAATAAATGCCCAGTAGTAGCGTAGGTAACCTTTAACCTTTTTGGGGTAGTATAATCCCCTTACACTCCCAAAGGTTAACCCTTGAATTCCCCCAGGTTACTGGACAACTAAGAATGGACAAGGAGCAACTTTAGGGCCCGGACATGGGGGGGTACCTGCCGGGGAACCCTAAACCCTAAACCCTAAACCCTAAACCCTAAGCCGTGGTGGCACAAGCCCCTGAAGCTTAAACCCGCCAACCCCCTCAGGCTGCAGCCGGATGTGAACCAGGCGCAGATCCGAATTGCAAGATGCGACAGGTTTGCAGGATCCTATGACGATTTCAGATCCTCTATGCTGGAGGCCCTTGAAGTATGACACATTTTCCCTTGCTAAACCCTAAGCCCTAGACCGCCTGGATGGCGTGCGCAGTGCGGGTGGCGGGAAAAAAAAAGCCTAAACCGCATTGTTGGGTTTCAGAGGATCCTATTTAGAAGCATGATCTCAGAAGATATTTTCAGTCCTATTTAGAAGTATTTCCCTAAACCCTAAACCCTAAATCTCCCGAGGGGTGTTTTTTCAGAGGGGTTGAAGGGCCAGCCTGGGAGTGGGCCAGGTGGTCTTCAACAACCTAGAGGCAGTTCCAGAGTCCTTTGACATTGCCTCCCGGCTGACAGGCGGTTCAGGGTTTAGGGCTTACGCAGGATTTAGGGTTTAGGGTTTAGGGTTTAGGGTTTAGGGTTTAGGGTTTAGGGTTTAGGGTTTAGGGTTTAGGGTTTAGGGAGCTTTGTACTGGCTGCTTTCGCGTGGCGTGAGCGGGAAGCCGCGAGACCGAGCTGCAGGAGGATTGGTTCAGAGATGTCAGCCTCTTCAAAGTGCACCAAAACCTTCTCTGCGACACCACGGAGACCAGCAGCAGCAAGAAGTATCTTGAGAAGCTGGAGCCACTTGTCTGGCATCAGTAAAGACTGCTTCATTGGTTTTGGGGGGGGGAAGCAGGGGATGTGGAAGGTGAGGGAGGTCGGGGCAAGAGGGGGGGTGCAGGATCCCCAACAACCTACATGAGAATCCCAGAGCAGTTCCGCGAGATGCTAGTCCGAGTGCGCCTGGCAGCTACTCAACTAACAACCCTGAGCTTCAAGCATTCTTGGAGCCCTTAGGAGGTGGCGTCAGCGGCAGCTTGCCAAGGGAATGGATCGCGAAGATGTCCGAGACTTGGATCTCTCGAGGGTTTGCTGCCTCCTTGCCCAGGGGCACCAGGTTTGAACTTGAGGGTTTAGAGTTTAGGGTTTAGGGTTCAAAAGGGTTTAGGGTTTGGCCTTGTAGGGCAGCAGCAGGCCCTAAACTTCCTCCACAGACAGAAGCCTCAGCCCAGCGGTGGCGAACCAAGGAACCAACCGCAGCTTTGACAGCGCGCTGCTGCCGGTGCGGCCACGAAGCTGCAAGGGTTCAGGGTTTAGGGTTTCGGGTTTCGGGTTTGGGGTTTAGGGTCAGCTCTCGCTTTTGGGGATACTGTTGGGATGTTCCCCCTGCAACTAGCAGTGCTTGATAGGGATTACAGTACGTCTATTCTAATCCCTATTCAAGGACTGTTAGTATGAGGGGGACCATTTTGGAGAACTGACCACATATTGTGCAATCACGAAAGCTGGCGTAGGTAGGCTTGAGTGTTACTTTGCTTTAGCAGGGCAGTCGGTCAACCCCTGAGAGTTGCAGAAGAATGGGTATTTTCGAGAAACAGGCAAATGCTTTCTAAGTTGCTTCACTATTTCTATTTTGCGGGCAATTCCAAACAAATCCTGTCTTACCAGGAAGCACATGCCGTATGTTCCCTCGGTCAAGGGCTAGACACTAAGGATCGCGCGGCGGAGGACGGTTCAAGAGCTCCGTATCGTGCTCCCCCCACAGGAGGAGGGAGATGAAGAGCCCTTCGATTCCGACGAGGAGAGGTTGCAAAGAGCTTCTGGAGCTTAAGACCAGCACTTCACCCGAAGGGTGGCACCACGAGTGACCCTCTACCTGTTGGAAAGGTCAGTCGCTTGCAACAACTCCACTCACCTGCCTCTTTTCTTCGGTGCCTACACTGCACGAGCACATAGGTATGGCTGCAGCATGCTGCAAACTGAAGGAGCCAAGCCAAGCAGCGCGCAAGGCCGAGCATCTCGGCATACTTCGGCCCAGCATGGTCTAATGCTAGGCTTAGAGCCTGGAGCTGTAAGCCCATTAGAAGGCCCAAGACCGGCCAAAAGCAGCCCAATCCCATGAACACGTCGGAGCCGCAAAGGTTCGAAGACTTGCCATGTTACTTTGTGGCCTACGGGAACGGGAAGGCACCGGCCGTGAAAGGCAAAGAGCAGGACGTGTTTAGGGTTTAGGTTTTAGGGGTTTAGGGTTTAGAGTTTAGGGTAGATCAGACAAGGGCGGAAGCTTGGAAACCGAAGCCCTGAACCCTGCACCCTAAAACCTAAATCCTCAAGACAAGATAAATTGAAATTGTCTGTGATATCATACTAAGTTTCCCAAGTTATTTGTCTAAATAGCTGACAAGCAGAGCTTGAGTAAATTAATCCAAAGCACCTGGGAGGCCAAATGCTCAATTTACTTGAACCTCTGGGGACGTCACTGATGTCTATGTGCATGTTGCCCTTGTGCACACAAACAGCACAAGACAAAAACGGCTAGTGGGTGTTGTTTGGAAATTTGGCAACAATCAGAACACACATCAGAGACGCCTATGTGCGTTTTGCTTTTGTTGGGTGTGGCAGGACTCAGAAAACACAGCAGTGGCGTGTACAATACGTGGTCTTTTGTTGCTCTTGGCTGCGCAAAAACAAACAACAAGCTTCGATGATGTTTAGACATGTCTGGCAAAGACCAGAGCACACATCAGTGACGTCTATGTGCGTCTTGCTTTTGTCTGCAGGAAACATATATTGAAATTTGGCCAAAAACCAGAACGCACATCAGCGTTTTCCACAACCTCGGTGCGAGACCTGTGTTGATTTGGAAGCCAACGTGCTGTGTTGTCCACAACCTCGGTGCGAGACCGGGTTGGCTTTGTAAAATACATGACCCTACATGTGCCAACGCGTTATGTTGTCCACAACCTCGGTGCGAGCCCCGTGTTGTTTAAACCAACACGCGATGGTGTCCACAACCTCGGCGCGAGACCTGTGTTGCTTAAATTGGCTTCAGAAGGCTGAAATTGGGCCCAAGTTGGCTTCGAATGCCCAAAAGGCCGAAGTTGGCTTCAAAAGGCCCAAATTGGCAGAAGGCTGCCAATTGGCTTCAGAAGGCCCAAGTTGGCAGAAGGCTTTAAATTGTGTTCAGCAGGCCCAAATGTGATTCATTGGCTTCAGAAGGCACAAATTGGCTTCAGAAGGCCCAAACCCCAAGTTGGCTTAGGACTCTTCACAAAAATTAAAAAGTAGTTTCCAAAAGAAAACACTTTCGCACAAAACTTTTTGGGACCCAAACCCTATACAATCTCTGTCAACCCCAAGCGAACCCGTGCAGGCTGCGTGCCGCTTGACATCTCCACCACCTCTGCCGGTGGGTGTGCATCGGTTCGGCTCAGACAGAAACGAGAGGCAGGGACTCCAAGTACGTATAAGTAGGATTGTAAGTAGAGTTTAGGGCTGGAGGTTAAGTAGGGTTATAAGTGGAGTTTAGGGTTGGAGGTTCATGGGTACTTATAAGTAGGGGTATAAGTAGAGTTTAGGGGTGGAGGTGCATGGGTACTTATAAGTAGGGTTATAAGTAGAGTTTGGGGTTTCGGCTCAGGTTTTGACGTGGAGGTTCATGGGTACCTAGAAGTAGGGTTCTGAGTACCCCTAAATAGGGCTGTAAGTTTTGTTACCATTCCTTATGACCCCTGCCTCTGCCAACCGCCATGTCAGAGGCTTCAATCTGATTCTAGCTCGAGGCCTGTGCGCAGTCCCTTGTGTTTTGTGCTTGGGCCCTGGGGGCAATCTAGAACCCTAAACCCTAAACACCTCTCCAACCCAAGCCCTCAGACAAGAGTCCCAAGCTGCGAAAGACACCTCAAAATTCTGCGCGACCACCTTCAGCTCCTCATGGTTTAGGGTTTAGGGCTTAGGTTTTAGGGTTTAGGGTTTAGGGTTTAGGGTTTTTCCTGAGGCTCCACAGCCACCGATGTGGTGGCCGCGGGGCACCAGTGGTCCTTCACTATGCGAACTGTGGCTTCTGGGCGACGATTCTGAGTTCTTGAAGGGCTTAGGGTTTAGGACCCAACAAGTCCGGTTTCAAAAAAGGGGTTTAAAGTTTGTTTTTTTTTTGGGGGGGGGGGGGTGTTCTTCTTCTTTTTGTTGCCTGCCATGCAATGGGTGCAGATGCAGTGCGGGCTTTGAGTCCTCTATCGCCGGGCTTGTATCGCTACTGACGGATACTGAGCTTGCTGGAGGATCGTTTTCTGTAGATTGGCGCCCCCTGCTTTGCAAAGTAAAGGGAAGATGACTTGCGAATTTTCTGCTGAAGGATACTTAGCCCGCCCGCAGCCTGTCTTGAGTGCGGCCTGGGGAGTGAACCTGAATTACGGGTCCTATTCGGTACCCGAAACTCTTGGAACTTGAGACGGACCCAGAACTTCGAACGACCCACCGTACCCACTAGCGCCCAAAAATTCGCTCAACCACCACATGAGCCACTCTGATGAGTTTGCAACGGGTCGAGGCTACAGCGCATGGCAACAGAAGTATGCGATTCTGGCCCGCGGACACGGAACCGAGGCAGGGCGGGGAGGGGGGGGGCCTAAACCCTAAACTCTAAACCCTAAACCCTAAACCCTAAACCCTAAACCGGGGAGGGGGGGGAGGCAGGCCTGAAGTTGCCCAAACGTCAAAACCTCTCCTGAAGTCCGCAACTCCCCTTAGCCGAGTAGGTAACCTTTAACCTTTTGGGGTATACATGTAATCCTACCATCATTGAAAGGTTAGCCTTTTTTGGTGCAGGCTACTCAGCAACTAGGTCCCAAACCCTCAATCCCAGGGTTTGCGCGTTTTGGCGTTTGAGCAACTTTGAAGGATTTGAACATCCTGCGGGTGTTTCTCGGAAGAGTCTCGGATACTTTTTTGACTTTGTTTCTTTTTTTTTCTTTGGGTGGGGGGGGGGGGCTGAAGGGCTTGAAGGGGCCTGAGCCCTTTAGGATGGCGGCTTCTCCATTGAGCGCAAGGGCATCAAGTCCATGCGGGCGCTCCAGTTGCCTTTGGTAAGCCAATCGTTTGCGGGTTCGGGGTTTTTAGGGTTCAGGGTCTTTAGGATATTTGGGGCGTTTTGGTCTTACAGGCCTTCATGTCAGAGTGGGTCCAACTGCCCAGGCTTGGGGTTTAGGGTTTAGGGCCTGCGACATTCCAGATGTCCTGAGACAAACCTTTGAGCCCGCTTGCATGCCGGCCCAAAGGAAGTTGCAGACCGTGACGGCAAAATCCATGCTGTGCCGCTGCATTGTGACAAGTCACTTCGTTTGATGCTTTTGCACTGTCGACTTGCTCGAGCCCTGACACAAGAGCCTTTTGTAGCCTAGATCCAAGTCCACAACCACAGCCTAGTGCATGCAAATCTTCGGAATCTGCGTGCCCCGAGCTGGCACACATTCCTTTGGCACGGGCGCAGAAAGTCGCTTGAAATCCGAACCTACCTCCTCAACCTCCAGAAAACATCCTCCCTACGGCGTCTTAGGCTCACCTGGCCCACCGCGCCCTCTGCCAACGCGGCCAGGAAGAAGACCTGAGAAAGTGACCTTCCGGGATTCCAGCCAGGGTGTGAACATGCAGGGAGTCAAGTCGAGTTGGAACTAGTTCTGGGTTTGGAGAAGCTGCAGCAAGGGCGACTGACAGAGTGAGATGCTGAGACAGCGCGGCCACGAGATGAACGGCAAAGAGATGTAGAGAGCATCGAGCATGTTTGCTAGACATCGTGCACCATATGTCGTATCCTGCTCCTTCCACCCATTCATTGACGTCTGCAAGGTACTACCGCACCTACATCATGGGCAACGAGTTTGGCGAGCTGCCACACTTTGCCCCTCGGCACACAAGCTGGTTTGGCCGGCTTTCTTGGGTCGCCTCAGCTTGTGTTTGTGCCAACATGATTTTTCTCAGGCTTGCCACGGACTGCTGGCGCGAGTTCACACCGTGCAAAGAATATTGGCAGAGGAAGCACGAAAAGCTCGCAGGGCTGGTGCTGCTGTTTTTCAGATTTCTATGCGCCCTAAGCATTTGGAGCAGAAGGTCGAGCGAACACCATCATGGGCTTACCCACATTCTGGGGCATTGATGTCGCGAAAGCGCTCTACGGAGAACTCAGACCCCGCAGTCACTCACCATCACAACACCGGATTCCATTCAGGGGTTTGCAGCAATTGCAACCAACCCCAAAATAGTTGCACTTCCGTGAATATGAACTTGCATCACCTTCATAGCCAGAGACTAACCCCAGCAGGCCAACGCTGCCCGCCAAATGATGGTGCAGTGCCCGCCGAATGCCCCATGCTCGCATATAGTGGCAATTCGGCAAGTGGGCAAAGCCAGCAAAGGCGTGGTATTTCAAGACATTTGTGTGGTTAGAGGCATGACCGTACATTTGGTTTCACAAGAGAAGCAGCGTGGAGGCTGCACACTTGAGTTTGTGCGAAAAAGCTTTGTTTAGCAGCTGCCCGAAACGAGCCTGGAGAATTCGACCAGAAACTTGTTTCCGTGTCGCAGACATGCCTCTTGCAGCAGCAGCTCAGCAGTGAAATCAGTGGTTGCACCCAGCGCAATATAGTAAAAGCTTCTGGCGACCTGGGCACCTTAAAGCCACCTGCCAGGCATCCGCGGGGGAAACGCTGCAGGTTACCAGCCCAGATGGCTTTGACTTCCAGGCACTTTCCTTCCAGATGAAGATGTTTGTGTGCTTGTTTGTGTGTTCGCCATGGGCGTGCACATTGCGCTTGGGTTGCTTCGATACTGTCAGGTCACAGTACCACTCGGAGTGGCGCCCGGCCAGCAGTTTGCCGTGGCCTACTGATGGCCGGCACATGAAACTCTAAAGAGCAGGCCCGATTGTCTATGGGCAACATGGGGCATACGTCACAAGTCGCTCATCTCAAGACATGTGTTGAGGACGGAGGTAATGAGCTGCGGGCCCAGTCGGCGGCTGTCGCTTCCCGAAGTTGAGAAGTCCGAAAGAAACAATAGCTGCAACTCTTCCACACTTTTAGAGAATTATAGAGCTTCCTTGCGGGAAGCTCAGCGATTCGAGGGAGAGGCCGGAAGCAGATGTTTCACAGTGAACACCGTGTCTCTGCAAGTCCTGTGAACGAGGGTGTGAGGGGCCGAGGACGCAGAAACCCTTCTGTACAAGCCTTCTGCTTGTAGGGACCCTGAATTTCGTCCCAAGGTGTACAGAGTACGAGCTGCACTTGGCAGTCGTTCTGTTTATGCGAGCAGAAGTGTGAAGTTCGAAAGAGAAGCCAGAGCGGTGCTGCATTGCATGCACACGTGCTTCCGCGCTAAGGGGCCCTCTTCAGGCCCTGCTCTCTCAAGCCGACGAGAGCGGAAAACGTGGTCAGCGCTTCGCTTTCAGCTGAGGTCGGAACTCCATGTCCATGACCCAAACGAGCAGCCCTACTATGTGTGGGGCCGAAGCTTCCCCCCCGGACGTTTTTTTAAGTCAACAACACCTTCATGAATCTGTTCAGGGTTCTTCAAGCCCTGATCGACCCTCAGTCTTCCGCAAGGAGGTCACGTCGTCTCTTTCGCGACGCACTCGCGCCTCGGTTGCATCCTGAATCTTCCCCCGTCCAGGGGGGGTGGGAGGCCGACATTGTCTTCGGAGGTTTCCCAACTGGCGACTGCGCAGGGTGCCTGACTGATTCCGAAGCATCCGATGGTTTCAAAATATCATGCCAATGAGAGGGCCAGGCCACCTTCTGATCAACAGCCACACCAAGCCACTAAGCTACACTCCCATTGCGCACGTGAACCTGCACCATGCCGATCCAAGCCGATGAGCAAAGCTCATGCCCCTGACATATGGTAACAGGAGCTTAGCATGGCATTGTGTGCCAAAGCGTCAAAGAACTTCGGGCATCAGACTTGAGCAGCCGCAGCATACGGAGGTGTGTCCTGGCCAGCACTTCGAAGAACGCCCTGGGCCTTTGCTTCATGGGCCGGGCCCCCGATCTTTCTGTGGGTGCAACTATTGGAGAGCTTGTTTAGATAAGGGGCTTCAGGTTTAGACTGCTTGGCTTGAAACCTGGCCCAAGACCCAAGATGCAAAGAAAACGGTTCGTCAAGAAGAACTCACAGAACTCGCAGTGCCATTGTACGTCGCCGATGATTTGCAGCCTGCAGCAACATATTGAAGCATACTGTAGCTCCAAGAAAGGACAACTGTGAAATGTAGGACACCTGTAGCTCCCCCCCATGGACCAACGCTCTCCACCGCAAATGCCCATCGACTATTCCAAGTTTGACGGCTGTGGCGAGGAGGAAGACGAAGGTTCCCTCGATCAAGGTGACTGGCAACAACTGCTGGAGCTCTTGAAGGCCGAGGCTCCTGAGGCGCATGAAGCCGACCCTCGCCGAACTCGCTTCTTTCAGGACGGGCTGGATTTCGGGGACGACCTGGGCTACCATCTCGGGTATGACCTAGGCGTGGAGGAGCCCGACATGGAGGACGAGTCGGTGAGCTTGCCTTTCGACGTGTTGCACCTGGAGGCTTGGCAGCTCCTCCGCCGGCGCATCTTGTCGCCGAAAGCCGCCGTGCTAGGAGCCGACTCCCTGCAGAGGGGGCTGCTCATGGAGGCGGAGCTTCTCCTTCAGCAGCGAAGGCACCGTGAGGCATTCCTGGCTGCCTGGGCTTTGCGCTTCTCCGCCGGCGATGAGGCACAGGTTCCCTCCCTCCCAGCTGAGCTGCCTCAGCTTGATCCTGCAGCATCCGTTCCACCTGAGTGTTGGTCGGCCTCGTGTGCCGTTGTGGAGATGGTCTGTGCCTACCAACTCGGCGACCGCAACCATGCAGTGGCTCTGCGAGAGGCACTGCTGCAAGCGGATCGCAGCCTGCTCTCAAGGCACCTCCAGAAACGATTTGAAGGGACTGCCGAGGTTCTGGACTTCATGCCTCAGTTCTTGAGCCTCCTGGCAGCAGATCGTGGCAAGAAGGGGACACCAGGGACTGGATGACGGCGCTGACCTCTGACCTCCCCGGGAACCAGAGCCTCGAGGGCCAGGAATGAGTGCAGTCAATTTATCAGCTGTTACTAGGGTTAAAAGTTAACCGTAGGGTACTGGTAGGGGTACTTATAACCCCACGTAAACGTGCCCATGAACCTCCAAGTAGGTGCTGACCCCACCCCAAACATCCCCACAGCTGGCAAGTGATGCAGCTCAGCTCGGGCGAGGGCGTACACGTAGTTGGAGAGGTGCATGCAAAATGGGGTTTAGGGTTTAGGGTTTAGGGTTACCTTGCATCACAGCGGCGTAGCAAGTAGAGCACTTCCGAAGTGCAAGGGACAGGACTGCTTGCAACCAGCTGGTGAGCTGAGGGGCTTCTAGGAGGAGGTTGGTCGAGATGCAACAGTCCATGTTTCCCATTGCAGGGTTTCACTGAGACCCCAAACAGGGCACTGCGCAAAGGGGGTCTCCGGGAGACCCCCAGAGCCCCCACGAAAGAAAAGAGAAAAGGTATTGTATGTCTCTGTATAAAGATTTATATATATATATATATATATGCATGGTACCCCCCCCCCCCCGGGGTAGCATATATATGATGCGGGTGCGGCCTGCCCCGCCCCCCCTCCCCCCCCCCAATGGTCCCCCCCCTACCCTGTGGTGTGGTTGTGGGTTGGTTTTAGGGGTTAGGGTTTAGGGTTTTTTGGGTTTAGAGTTAGGGTTCCCGCCCCCCCCCCCCCCCTGTGGTGTGGTTGTGGTTGGTTTTAGGGTTTAGGGTTTTAGGGTTTTTAGGTTTTGGGTTTAGGGTTGAGGTTTAGGGTTTAGGTTTTAGGGGGTTGGGTGGGTGGGTACCATGGGGGGGGGGGGGGGGGGGGGGGGCGAACCGAGAACCGGGATCATATATAGAAATATATATACGTATACATATACATACACGTATACAGCAGCCATGTTCAGACGTCTATGCATCTAGGGGTTTTAATCGTGACTGGGATTGTACCCGGAACCTCCATGTGCTTTTTGCTCTCATGGTCAAGGTGACACGCTGCACCTACAGCTGGCAGGGAGGGAGCCGAAGCAACTCCTCTCCACAACCCCGACTCTTGGCCAAGGGTGCAAGCTTCGGGGTGTCAGTGTCAGGAAACATATCTTCAATCCTCAGACGTCAGCTCAACATCTGCTAGGGGATTGTTTGTTTGCGGGGAGCATCTCAGGCCTATAAGGGCTTGGAAGGATGTTTTGTTGTGCCGCCCTTGATGCATAAGAACTTGCCTCTGCACGCCTGGTTCCGCGAACCTCAAGGCGACGACAGTAGAACAAAAGGGATTCAGATAGACTTATACAGATAGACTCAAGCGACTTTGCACCAGCAAAGTACTGAAAATTGAGGGGGGGGGGGGGGGAATTGCTGCAGGATGCGCTTGATGAAGATGAAGGACTGCCCCCTCCCGCCCCCCACCGCCCCCTCCCCCAAAGAACACGTCATCGGTATTCAACCTTGGTTGGGCCATGTTGGTTCAACCCTCAAGATGCACGATGCTTTGAAGAGGCCATGGTATTCAAACAAAGCCCTTCAAGCCCACGATGGCACTCACCGAAGTCCCTCAGCGAGCTTTTCATCCTAGGAAATCTTGGACCCCAAAAACTTGGCAACTGCTTGGCTCAATTCCCAGACCTTGCAGCCCAGGAGTTCACTGGGCCAAGGCTACATTTTTCCTAAGATCATGTCCCAAGCATTGTTTTCATATTGTTTGTGATATTATTTGCATCCTTGTACTTTTATTTTCGTGCTACAGAGCAGGAAGGTGCATTAAGTCCCTTGCCTCTCATGCCAGGTTGGACAAGGCCCTGGCAGGAAATGATGCGAAACCCGCTCCTTTCAAATGGCACAGCCGAAGTAGAAATCCCGACATCAAGCTTTGGGAATATCAAGGCTAGTCTACGAATCACGACGTACAAGTAACCCTACTGCAAAGGTGAACGTGCTATTGCGATGCATGAACGTAGGTCTCGGATAAAGCGCGTGACGCCCCTCGAAGTCTTAGGTTGTGTTTGCGCCGGACCCAGGGCCCAGGGCCTTGAAATAGAAGCCCCCCTTCTTCTGTCATCGAATCACAGGGACGAAGATCGTAACTTTATCCCGAACCAAAAACCCTACATACACCATCATACACCCAGACAGACTCGCCCACTGCCTGAGAGGATCGGCAGCGCGAAGGCGAGAGACATCCTCTGCAAGCACCAGCCAGCGAAGGACGGCTTACCAATGACCTGGGCGTCGTCCTAAGTTAGGACAACCGTTACAGGGCCTCTTTACCAAGCAGTCTCTGGCATTCCATGAGGGGCACCTCTAACGCAAGAACTGCCCTCCTGAGTGTTGGGCTCTTCGTGCTTCGGAGCTCGAGGCGTTGGCCCGGAGTTGCAATTGACATAAAATCTGGAGGGGTGGGGCTGGGAGGCGGGGGCCGAAGGGCGTTTGGGGGGGGGGGGGGGGTGAATCGCTCGTAATTCTAATTACCGCGGCGCATAAAGCAGTTTCGGTCTGGGAGATAGGCTCCTTAACCCTCGACTGCCAAGGCTGTTGACAATCCATGCACGGGCATTCAGTTTGTGCCGGGCCGGGGGGGGAGGAAGAGGGCTTTGAAACTTTGTAATAGCCGGTAATCATCCCCGCTCAATTTTCTAAGGAGTAGGCAATCAAGCCAGAGATCTCTGCGTCTCTGTAGTTTTTTTTTTTTTTTCAGGGGGGAAGGCTATGTGGGAGAACAGCTGAAAATCTAACAACCCCACACCGAGGGTAATTAAGGAAAGCGACCTTGCAGGAATGGTGTGGCAGTGGCTTCCGTACGCACCCGGCGGACCCCCATTGCATTCGCCCGGTGAGTTCTCAGTACCCGTTGATCAAGGCGCCAACAGGTTTAGAGCGTTTGGTGAGGGAGCACGACTAGAGCCCCATATCCTTCAACAGGTAGCTCGCCCCTCGCTGGGCTACGCGACCCCACCTGGATTCAAGACCACGCAAGATGTTTCCTGCTCGTTCATGTCGATGCCAATGGGGTGCAGCAACTGCAGCCCAAAGACTCCCCCACACACCTGAGGCCTGAGACTAAAAGTACACTTCCCATGACTCCAAACAGAGCATGTTGGAGACAAAAACCCATGGACCAGGCGAAGTGGACGCCATCCTTGCAGCTGCAGAAAAGGGTCAGCCGGCCACTGCAGCCGCAAGCAGACGTGATCAGTAAAGTAGGATCAGTGGTACGTACTCGGTTTTTCCTTCTTGGGATCTCGGGTCCCTCACAAGCAGCTTATTCGACCAAAAAAAACACCATTGTTTTGTCGTCGGTTGTGAGATGGAATGGAAGCGTGTCACTCCGCGCAAGTGCCGGGCTGCTTGCAACATAAGGTTCTGGCGCTCGATAGTCGTTGATGTCACGAATGGATGGATCGCTTAAAACCCACCGAAGCCCTGAAGCTCCTCCACTCTATCCGACTCTATCCTAAACCTCAGCAGTAGCAACTCATCGGAAAGCCTCGACTATCCGCTAACGAAGCCCAAAAAGACCTGTAGCAAGGTGCCCGTCTTCACGAAGGATGCCTCCAGAAGCAAGGCAGCCACGTCGGAAGCTTTTCTCCAGAAGAAGGACAGCCTTAGACTTCAAACCTCGGGGCTTTGGGCACGGTGGACCTCTGAAAGAAGCTGGCCTGGCCCAAGCCCTAAACCCCTTAAACCCCTTAAACCCTAAACCCCCCTAAACCCTTCAGGACTGCACATGGCTGCGTTTTCCTAGCTCGAATTTAGGAAGAAACTGGGCGAGCAGGACTCCTGACTCCTCCTCGGGCTGCGGTGAATGTCATCTCTTGATCCACGGACTGCTGGTAAGACAGGCTCTCGTGGTCAGGGAGCTGCCTCCTTCATTGAACAAGCATGCCGTGCACTCCATGCAGGAGGAAGGCAACACGCTCTTCAAAGCTGGTGAGCACTTGAAGGCCTCGGTCGGCAGCGGCATAAGTGTTAGATAAATGGAGCCATTGCCGGTAGCAAGACGCTGGTTCCGGGGAAGATGTACTCTGGCAGGCTAAGATCCACCCACCATCCAAGGCCGCCCCTTCCATAGCCCAACCCAGGCATCATGCCCACCCACAGGCACAGTCCAAGCGCAAAAAAGCAAGAACTAAACCCACAACCACAGCTTGCCAGACATGAAGAAGTACGAGCTTGGACCCTAAAGTCTCAACCCCTCAACTCTCAATCCTTGGCCCTAAGCCAAACATCCCAAAAACTTTGGTGGGTTGGGGAAAAAGCCGAAGGCTCTGCGGGCCTATGATGCCGCCTTGCTGGAGCCTTGCAGCGATCAGGACGCCGCCATCGCCCAAAGCAACGCCGCGCAGGCCCAAAGCTCGAAGACCACGCACGAGGGTTTAGGGCTTGGGTTCAGGGTTGGGGCTTCGGAGTGTGGAAATTTCACAGTGGTGACTTCAAAAGCTCCAGTTTGTGTGCATGCTTAACCAGGTTCACACTCCATGGGCCCTCAGGCCGGCCTCTCTGTCCGTGGCGTGAGATCTCAGCCCATGGGCTGGCCCCAGTGTAGCTCAGAGCAGTGTCGGCTGCTTAGCTACTTGATAGCCCAGTGATACCCTTCAGCCTCTTTTTTTGGTGATTGGTGGCTGCCTTCCTTCGGCCCAAACATGAAGATAGCCGGGGCTCGCCATGCCTGCGATGTTTGAGCAAAATGTCACGGTTCCGAAGCGGCTAAGCTCTTCCGCCACCCAAAGACTCAACTCAGAAGTACTCTCGGCTAGATCTTGCCAAGTCCACCTCTGAAGGTACAAAAATCCTGCTGAATCCATCCCCAAAAAGCTTTGCGGAGGCGTTGTTGAAGCTTGCCGGCGAGGCCTGTGGAGCTTGTTTCACAGGAGAAGCGAAGCTAGAAAACAGCTGGAAGTCAAGATGTAGGACTCCTATTTCCGACCTCGTGACTCGTGACTCGACTCATGACTGGTGCCATGTA